CTTGACATATATAAAAATTAAGATGACAAAAATGTTAGGCGATACTATACTCTTTAGGTTTGAGAAATTAATAATTAAAACACACACTGGCGCAATAAAGACGAATATAATGACAGAACATGTAACAAAATTGCTTTAAGAATTTGATAATAAAGAGAATAATTATCAACAAAAAGACGGATAAACATAATTTAGGTAAACTTTCAAACTCTTAATGGGTATGAAAAAAACAGTTTTAAAAAACTAAAAAACACGCTTTTTATAGAAAACCAAACTAAACAATAGAAATAAAAATTGAAAAAAAGCGTGGGGTGCTTTTTACTATTGACAACAGGTACCCCACGCTTTTTTTAGTTTTTTAATAAAAAAAAAAAATTGTGTGTTGTCATCGGTCCTCGATATATCTACAAAGTTTGAACGAATTCTGACCGTTTAAAGTCAGTCAAAATACGTCCAAAGGGACTCCTTTGGACGTATTTTGACTCGGTCAAACTCGGTCGTCGGTTACAAACAAACATACAAACATACAAGTGAAGCTAATATAAATCGTGTAATAAACACGCTATATGAATTAATTTTGCCACGTCTAAAGTTTCATCGTTCTATGCGCTACTGTCTTAAGGGTCAGTTAGACAAATCGCTGACAATCAACGCAAGGTAGCCGTCATTACGTGCAGCTGCGATTGTCGCGCGCAGGGTTACACCGGTATATCCTGGGATTTGCAGAGATTAACCCTCCACCGTCACCAGGTGGACGTAACGTCACTAATGGTGGGATTTACGACGACAAATGTTGGTAGGATTAGATTTAATAGCGATTGAGTAAATTGGCAGACATTATGCGTTAAAATGTACTACTGGTTAGATATTGCATTTGCACCCGCACAACGAATCTTTGAAACAAATGATTGCCTGCGGTATTTTTCGTCCGATAAGGCCCACTGTGACCTCATAAGCCGGTAACCCTTGAATTGGAGTCCATGGGCGACGGTACTCAGGCACCATCAGATGACCTGGCTATTTGTTTGCTACCTACATCACAAAAAAAGATATTGATGAGGGTTACATTAACGACGTAATGAGACGAATGCTTGACAAAGTTACTTAATTTATAACATCAATTTGTTTCGTACATAAAGTTAATTTTGAAATACAAGTCTATGCATTTTTAAGACTGTTTTTCACGGCGCTAGGTTAATGACTTTACCTTGACTAAAAAGATTTAGCTTAGCTATTTATGAAATATTTTATGACGATCACGTCTGTGATGTTTGGTTGATTGCTTTGGCAAGAAATGAAAAAGAAATGGCTGCAATGGCCATTTTTTATTTCCACATTCAAGTAAAAGGAAGGGTCATGACAGAAGTCGATATACGAAAATACTTTTAACTAACATTCTTTTAAGACTGTTAGTTTAAAGTTGACATTGAAGCTGACTGCACGGATGGCGTAGTGGTTTAAGCGGTCGCCACGCCGTTTACTACTACACTGAGTGTTGTGGGTCCGATCCCCACATGGGATGACACTTTGTGTGATCCACAAATTGTTGTTCTGAGTCTGGGTGCTCTTTGTGTCCGTTTCATGTGTGTTTGTAAAGTCCCAGCGACACAGGATATATTCCTAGTGCGGGAGTTGTCGTTTTAGTTGTCTTTTAGTTCTAAAATAGTTTTAAGGTAAGAATGGCCTATGTCTTTGGGAATCCCATTGGTTGAAAGTGGATGTAGATAAGTAACTGCAGCAGGATCAATAGATTCACTTACTTTGGATTTTGTCGTATTTTTTGTTTGTGAAATAGGGGGCAAACGAGTAGACGGGTCACCTGATGGAAAGCCACTACCGCCGCCCATGAACGCTTGAAACTCAGGAGTCACAAGCGCGTTGCCGGCCTTTGAGGAAGGAGTACGCTTTTATCTTAAAGGTCTGAAGTTTGTATCGGTCCGGAAAAACCGCAGATGATAACCCGTTCTACAGGTTGGTAGTGCCAGGCAAAAAGTGTCTCGAAAAGCGCACAGTGAAGTGTCATTTTTCTATGAAATAAAAATTTTGCCGTGTGGAACGATGGCGGAAATTTGCGGCCGGTATTAGTCCGAACAATGATGGTGTACATGGTGTCATTGCACCCCCTACACCAATAGAAAATTAAATTATGGTGCTTTAACTTATTGCTCTTCATATATTATTGAAGTTTATTTAACATAAAGTTTTTGTAATCAATAATTGTTCATACGGAGTAGCAGTTACTATAACAACGGACTTAAACGTACCTTAAATATCACCATAACACCATTACTATAATATTCTTGAGATGAATAAGCTTTGTAACGTACCTGAAATGAAATAAAATAATATTAATTACTAGCTTAACTGTGCAACTCAGTCGGCGTCTCTCAAAAGGAATAAATTTCAAAGCTCCTATTGGTCATAGCGTGATGTTAAAAAACTTATATCCTTCCTAGATATATGATCTATCTAACACTTAAAAAAATAATTGAAACCAATAGTTCCTAAAATTAACGTGTTTAACCAAACCATCAAACAAATTTATATTATTAGCATTGGAGAATTTAAAACTAAAAATGCCACAATATTCCACCCAGTTTGCAGACAAATCTTTTACTGTGCAAGCAGTAAAAGGCTTTGGAACAACTTGCCTTTGACAATCCGGCAAGCTAAAACCTTGCCCGTTTTCAAAAAGCTAGTGAAGGATGTTTATTATATATATATAATATATATATTATGTTTATGTATGTGTGTATGTATGTATGTGTATTTATCTATGTGTATTGTGAACAGATGTTTATTTGTGTATGAATACTTTTGTTAATATTTTTAAATTTTCACGTGATAATGCGTTACGTGTATCACGTGTATGTAAACTACCCAACTTTTTAAATAACTAATATCCGTATGAAGGTTGTCTGTAAGAGATCTCCGTACCGCCGATTGTTACGTCTATATATTTGTAATTTCTTATGTCTAACTGTAAACAAGAAAATTATAAATACATATTAAATTATTAGTTATTATTAAGGTTAAATATGTTACAAGGCCAGACCTCTCGGCAACGATAGGTTACACTTAGGTACAGTTAAGCGACCCTAAGCTCAGCTATTGTTTACACTCCCAAAACCACCCATTCCTGCCATCACCTTATATTTTAAGCTACCGTCTATGAATCACACAAATTTATCTTTTGGTATTGAAGTCACAATACTAGCTAAGTTATCTGTCACTTAATGTATACGTACGTAATACATGATAGTCGTTCAGTCAAATAGCTTAACCCATGAAATACTGCAGTCAAAAAATATCTATAGCAGTTGGACAGTGGACGTCGCAGATTTATGTCCTTCGGTGGCGCAACCGCAACGCGTTTGCCAAAAGCCCAAAACCGGCAAATAAATCTGTCTGTGAAATCAATCCTCTGTCCCGAAGCCACGGATTATACAATTGAAAAGATCATTTCAGAGTTTCCTAGAAATAGACGCGTTACAATTCGAATGAGTAAAAAAACAATCTTATGAAGGATAGTAATAGTAAAGTAAGGATGACTGCACGGATGGCGTAGTGGTTTTAGCGGTCGCCACGCCGCTTCCTACTACGCCGAGTGTTGTGGGTTCAAACCCACATGTGACGACACTTTGTGTGATCCACAAATTGTTGTTTTGAGTCTGGGTGTTCTTTGTGTCCGTTTCATGTATGTTTGTAAAGTCCCCCGCGACATAGGATATTTTCCTAATGTGGGAGTTATCTAAAAAAAAAAGAAAAGAAAGAAAGATAAAGATATTTTGATATTTATACGATAATATAGTATGTATGAACTATATGTATGTATACCTAGTACTTATATATCTGTAAGATTTTCTTTTTGTAACATTCTTTAATTAAAATGGCAATCCATCCGCTGAAGGTTAACAGAGAGAGAATGCCTAATGGCTTTTAAGTCCGCTTTTGTACAAAATGTGCATAAGTTTTAAATAAATAAATAATAATTAAATATATTCAAAGTATTAACACAATCGATAAAATTACTAAAAGTATCTGTCGGTGTTAATCCATAACCACCTGCTTCCATTTGGACCTGGCTCTCTTATTTAGTAGAGCCTCATCAGACGGCAATTGGAAAATAAACTAAGCAGTCATATTGTATCAACTCTCTTCGTATTTCCTAACGATACTATAAGTGTCAATAGTACTATTGACTAGGGTCAATAACATGACCCCTTACAATATCAATTGAAGTATTCTGACCTATGGTACTCAACATTTGGCCCTACTACGCGTGGGAGACCCATACTTCAACGCGTAAACCGCTCTTAAGGAATGCTGTCGTTGCTTTTCACGAGTGAGTGAGAAGAGAAGAGAGAAGAGTAAGTAAGATTCATCGTCATCATCAACAGCTTTTAACAGTCCACTGCTGGACATAGGCCTCTCCTTAGAAAGGTTTTGGCCTACTATACCACGCTGGCCAGACGGGTCGATATAGGGTTTGTTTCAAGTTTTCCTTCTCTTTGCAGTGCAGTTGTCCTGCGTAGTTTTTATAATTTGTAGTTTTAGTGAGATTACCGGAGCCTAATCACCACATATCCCCCAAGACAACGCACCAATGTCTCTTGATATACAAGTGTGCGTGGGCGATGTGGTGACTTGACATCAGTTACCTGATTTGCTTGTTAATCATAAAAGAAATGAACCTATTAAATGAGTTGAAAGAGATTGAAACCTCTCAGAACCAAAAATTGATAATGTTATCATCCTTACTTATTAACAGCATTACCTATAATACCGAGAGTTAGTAACTCGAGTTATGTAGATGGTACTTAAAGCTCGGGGAGCGTTCTAATGAAGAGTTGTATGTGACCAGATTAGAGTACACTGAGTTATGAAGGCGTGGTGTGTGCGGCTACGTTGTCATACGGCACAGGATTGACGGAAGTATTTTATACTGCCTTAAAACTTGTGCATTAAAAATTGTACGAATAAAAGTATCAGTAATAAAAATGAGTATCGCCAACTGCTGTATCAGGAGAAAAATGCGTCAAATGACCATACCTGCCGACTGCATTGACTCTTCACAATATGCTGTGAGTTTGGCGATGTAAGTTTCAGGCAGAACTGAGCCTACACTTTGTGTGGCGGATGATTTATTGTTTATCAATTTCTCTATATTGGTGTTACCTAGATGTGTATTAGATTTTCACAGTTTCAAACAGTGTACATATTAACTTCTTTTTTATGAGACTAATCCTTCCCACAAGCCCACCACTGTAACTCCTGTACACCAGGATCAAGAGCAGTGACTCACAAACATACCTAGTTATGCCACTCGGGAAGTCTCAGGAAAAAAAAAATAACCTGTCTTGGAACCCGCAACGAAATTAATCAGAAGAAAACTGGAGTAGTTGGAAATACAGTAAATAAACTGCCCTCCTTAGCAAAGCGGGAGACAAAATGAAGTTAAATAGGCATACACCCTTTTAAACAGTTAAGTACAACGGCCACAAAATATTGTGAGTCTTAAGTGAGCTATATTTTATTGCTATAATACGTATGGCAGAATCGCCTGAACTATCGATCTAAGTGGCGTGCAATGGGAGAGGCCTATGTCCAGCAGTGGAATGCGATAGGCTGATGATGATTATGATAATCGCCTAAACGCACGGAAATTCATCCTACCTTACAATTTAGCAGCTCCTGTCTACTCTTAAAGAGTCGTAGTTGTTCTAATGCCTACATGTTTTACAATATTTTTTAATAACCTTAGATTTTCTTCGATCGTGAACTAAATATCATGAAATACTAATATGTTTATTTAAATAGTTTTAATTGATGTTAGTTTCATAATAACGGCTTTCTATTCCCCGCGTTTGATGTTAGTTTCATAATAGCGGCTTTCTATTCCCCGCGTTATACTAAGTATTAGAGCCCAAACAATTCCAACAAAAGTTATGGGTCAATTTTTGCAATTCCACAGGCAAATCCGATTGTTTTTAAAATTTCTACACTTCTTTGACACCTGTGTAGAATTTTAAGTCGGAGTACCTAATTTAGAAATATAAAATTGTTTGTTGTTAATAAAATACCGCTAAAATGTCACACAATTATCGTGTGAAAATGGAACTACGCACACCATAGCGGGGTGTGAGCCGTCATTATCAAGTTAATGCTACTCTAAACACATAGTCGTGTCGTGCACGACAAGTAATTACTTGCAGACATGTGTCGCCCAGGCCACCTCCACCTAGTGCATCATCACCTTTATAATTAGGATAATCATGTTACTTAAACTGAGCTGCAAAGTTACATTCAGAGTAATAAAAAAATACCTTCGATGTAGAATACGCAAAAAAATGATTCATTATGATCAACAGCCTTTAATAGTCTACTGATGGACATAGGCCTCTCCTTAGACAGGAAGTTTTGGCCTACAATACCATGCTGCCGTTGGCCAGTTCTTAATCCGTCACCAGAGGGTCAGAATGTATTTCTTAGTTATAATCCTTAATTTAACCTTCTTTTTAAGGAGAGGCCTATGTCCTATGTCCAGCAGTGGACTATTAAAGGCTGTTGATGTGATGTGATGTGAATCCTTAATTCAACTTTTTTTTTTATTGTATAAGGGGGCAAACGAGCAGACGGGTCACCTGATGGTAAGCAAGTACCGCCGCCCATGGACACCTGCAACTAAATAGTCCCAAGTGCGTTGCTGCCCTTGTGGGTACACCAACTGGGTACATCTAGTTTAAAATGAATATTTTATGTTTTAAACATAGTTTTAATATTTAAAAAAAATAGAGAAGATATATCTTTGAATTTGAAAACATGAAATGAAAATTGTTCTAAAACTACCGAATGCTTAATGTTTCAATTTATAAAGAAAAAAAAAAGCCGTGTGGTGTCGTGGGACACCCGATAGGAACGAAGTTGTGACGATCGAGTAAAACTGATTTGACACGATTTTAATTACAACGCCATCTATGAAAGCGGCTATTACCTACATATTAAAAACAATTAAAACAATTTATACATTGGTAAAATCTCCTTGCGAAATGATTTCCTATCTATTCGATAGATGGCGCTGAATGTCTGACAAGATGACACGAAAATAAATCCAAGTACTAACCACGCCCGATGTTGCTTAACTTCGGTGATCGGACGAGAACCGGTGTATTCAACATGGTATGGACGTTGGCGAACGTTAAAGAAAATTTAATGTATGGTATCCACAGTTAGACGTCAATTTATATTAATAAAAAAGTGTCGTTCCCAATTTTCGTACGAATTTTTTCCGTCTAGCCCCCTTTCACAACGCGCGATAAGGAACTTCGTTCCAATAAACAAGTTATACACGTAAACATAAATGTTGATATTGTTGATGAAGAGTATATGAAAATAAATAAAATCAATTAAAATATATATGTGTGTCGAAGCATCACTTGCGTTCGTCTCCACCGATTTTTCTATAATATATTGAAATAATCTAAATATGCACATTATCCAGACATCAATACCGATATCATAGAACGCATAAACATATTTTTGGTTTTCTTTAAAAATTACATCGCAACACCTTGTCCCCATAGCGAATTAGTTCTAATAATAGCTATTCTAAGAAGATGGAGTCGTCGACACAAAGGATGTCGCCAATCTATCAGGAGGCGTGTGGTGACGAGCTGTGCATCGTTGATAACCTTCTTCCATTGGGAAAACATTATTCTTTATCATTATTTGAATTTTAAAACATCAATATGTTTATATGCAAAAACAATTGTTTTTTACTTCGAGTACATGACTCCATATGCTATCATAGACAAAAGTCTGAGTGTTACAATAATGAGAATTGACAGGGATAACAAGAAAGTTCCATGTTCGTGAGTGACATGGATGGACTCTGGACAGATACTTGAATATTTTATTTTATTTTATTTTATCTAATAGGTACAGTAACAGATAACAGATTAGCACACACAATTATGTTGACAATATACAATACTTAAATCTGAAGTCCAGTTATAACTATACACAACGTTCTATTACAAAGTTTATATGAGTATGTTAACAGACTAAAGAATTCACATAATAAACTTAAGCTCCATTATTATTACAAAATAATTGGTTTAAGGTTCGATTAAATAACAACACAAAGATCCTAAAAAAAAAAAAAAAGGAAGAAAGCTTAAGAAATTATACAGACATTATTGTGGGGCACATAGTTTCAGTAATAGACTTATGAATAGATTATAACTATTGTGAGAAATGTCCACCTCAGAGCAAATTGCGTTATATTGACTGCACATTCGGGATATTGGATTGTTCTGTGATACATTATTGTTGCTAGTAGGTACACAGAACAGCTGTGGTATACGTACGGATCGTGTTGGTATCTTAAAGTATAGCAAGCCAACAAGCTCACTATCAAGTGAGCCATTTACTATTTTATGTAGGGTGCACATGTCAGTTAGCCACCTTCTCCTCTCTAGACTTTTGATAAACTAAAGATCATAAAATTGCTAGACTATTATCAACAACAGCCTGAAAGGTGATGAATCAACTTCAAAATTGGTTATCACTTATTACCAATCGACGAGTACTGTCTGCATATAGAGAACATATCAGTGGAAATACTTATTTCAAATTAAACAAGTGAGTGGTCCATGTGGTGACGGATTAAGAATACGGAGTGTCACCACCCCTATTCATCCCGTGGGTGTCGTAAGAGTCGACTAAGGGAGCAAACTGCGCAGGACAACAACACTGCAAAGAGAAGGAAAACTTTAAACAAATCCTATACCAACCCGTGTGGCCCTAGCTTTTTAGCTTTATACATCTGTTAGCACGGGTATGGCAAATAGCAGAAACTGTTCTGATGGTGGTGCTGCAAAACTGGCCTTTGTAGAAGTCTATCCTTGATCTGTTTTAAACAGTAAACGACCTCTGGGATGTAACGTTATATTCCATTCGCAATTACAATTTCTAAGAATTTTCACAAACATGGACGACTAATTAATCTAAATGAGTATTCAATACACTATGATCATGAGTTCTCAGTAAGTTTCGCAATATTGCAAAGCGCCTCGAACAATATATTACCACCTATAATTTTAGACGAGTTAATCACTCTACCTATGCATTTAGCAACAATTACAACAAAGTATCACATTGTATATAAAGTTGAAACAATGCTGCATGTTGACACTCGATAAGATGGCGACCAACACAAAATGGCGGGCAGTGTTGTTCATTTGCACGGTAATTAGATTGAGAGAAGTTACGGGGTCGCAGGAGGTTATGACGAAATTGACGGGTGGATTCGCTAAAGTGCTGGAGTCGTGTAAAAATGAGGTGTTTTTTTTTTAATTTTATATCATACTTATATACCTTTTGCAAAAATAATTCTAGTGGGTCCCTTTTTTGTTATTAAAAACTTAGTATTCGAAGTTCTGCTCGTTTTGTGTCCTGTATATTAGATTTTGTCAATCTGTTGAGATGTCCCTGGGCAACCTTTTATTTAAGAAAAGAACAAAGTTGTTTTCTTTACAATGTTCTAAGTAGCATTTAGAGATTATTTTTAATCTCTTAGCTTCAAGTTCTTTAATAAATTATGTTTAGTTTTATTTTTAATACTGAACTTCAGTCGCAGTCTTCCAATTTTCAAGAGTACTATAATATTACCCTCACTTTTAGTATATTCCTTACTCTTGGTCATCAGCTAGGTATTGGTGACAGCATAGTCCAAGAGTTCTACGGCTACTGGCGCGAGGACTATGCGCTCGTGAACCGCGACATGGGCTGTATGATCATCTGCATGGCGTCCAAGCTGGACCTCCTCAACGATGAAATGAAGATGCACCATGGCAATGCCCATGAGTTTGCAAAAGCTCATGGAGCTGGTAAGACTATAATATAATATTTTCGGACATCTGACACACAAGGTCATCTAGTTTGAAGCTAAGCAGAGCTTGTACTATGAAAGCTAGATTGACTGATAGAATCGAATCCAAGACCTCAGCACAGCAGTCGCATACGCCACCACCTAAAAGTGTAAAGTACTATACATTATGTGTATACTTAACCATACAATAGTGGGGAAGCCATCAGATAGGGATCTGGATCAATGGAATTGTAGGGGGTTCGAATCCCACTATTAATATAGATAACATGGACAGCATGGATTTTAATAATGTGTTTCTTAAAATCTTTCTTTTTTTTTAAATATATATTTATCTATTTTCAGATGATGATACAGCTAAACAAATAGTGACTATACTCCACGAGTGTGAGTCAAGCCCCTCCACCGAAGACGATCCTTGCTTAAGAGCGCTTGAGATATCCAAATGCTTCCGCTCGAGGATCCACGAGCTCAAGTGGGCGCCAAACATGGAGGTGGTTCTCGAGGAGGTCATGACGGGAGTTAAGACTTAGACTTGGAATCTTGAGAATTTAGAAGTGATCAAGTTATTATGAAGGTTTGTGGGTTAGGACAAAGAATTTATCAATATTTTTGTTATTGGGATGACTACGTAATATCTTGATTTCTTATTCTGACGTATATTAACTCAAATTGATAAAGTTTTTGCCTTAAGTTCCAAGATTATTATATAATAAAACTGATCACCTACTAAGGTAAACGAAAACAAAGCGCATTAAAACGGTCTAAAAGATAAACAAACGTCTATAAACTCGTCAGCTTTAAATATTAAAATATGGTGGTTTTCAATTAAATTATTTATTACCTAATTAGTATGTGTTTTATTTAATAGTCTCATTCAGCAACAGCCTTTACTAGTCCACTGCTGGACACAGGCCTCTCCTTAGAAAGGAGGTTTTGGGCTACTATACCACGCTGGCCAGACGGGTTGGTATAGGGTTTGTGTCAAGTTTTCCTTCTCTCTGCAGTGCTGTTGTCCTGCGTAGTTTGCTCCCTTAATCAGTCTCATTAATGTTACATGAATACTTCAGCAGATATTCGTTTAACCTTGGCGTATCCTAGTAAAGGCATATCTGCAGAAGGAACTTTATATCAAAGCAACAACTTCGTAAACAGTTCTTAAAATTAAATTTAACACACGTATGTAAAGTATTGGTGTACTGTCATGTCACGACCTGGTCATCATCTCCAGACTGCTATAACTAAAAAATTGTAAGAAAAAAGAGTCTCTTTGGAATTTTTTGCCTGTTCTTCTCCACAAAACTTATTTATTGGAACTGACAACTAGATTTCCTTCTACTTATTCTGACTGGTTTACTGTATCAGAAGAAGAAGCTATTAGTTATACCTTTTACAAGTCGTATTAAATTTCCCTTTATCTTTTTCTCTTTTTGTTTTCCCGCTTTCGAACAAAAAACATCCATCTATTGGCGTAATCAGTTTCGATTGAATAAACGCGGCACGTAGCAGGCTTAATTCAGGCTGCACCTGTTTTGTATCAATTGTACGCGGATTCGCAACACACTCGTACGAATAATGATATAAATAAAAGTATCGCATTCTAGTCACACCCTTGTTTATATGGCAAACAATAGCGCCACAAAAGAAGATTAAGTTAGAATAGGCTCTGAGAACTGTATCTGTGTATTTTATAGCAAAAATGGATAGCGCTTTTTAATTCACAGTTTTTAGTTATTAAGAAATTAAGTAAATTAAATTAATAAAAACTCTCCAACGCTTTTGAAATTACTTCTCTCGGCCTGCCACGCTACGCTAGCGCCACGCTACATCACATTACAAATCATTGGAATTCTCATATTTTCTCTACTATAATATGCATGTTCAAATTCCCAACCCTATTTTTTAACAGCCCCATTTAATCATAGATCATCAATCAATCAATCATCTTCTAAATAGCTTTGAAAAGTTAAAAATAGGTGTCTAATTATTATTATTTTTGATAAAGAATATAATAGTTCTTCATAAAAACTTGCACCCCTTTTATAAATAAGGTTATGAAAAATTAGTAACTACGTTTTTTTACTACTTTTAATAAAGAGTGTTGCTGTGAGTTTGAAAACGCTACTATCAAAAATTACGAAGTTTTATTTAAATTGACAACCATTGACAACAATTGGTCGTCAATTTAAAATCCTCTTTTAGTCAATTTAAAATCCTGTTTTAGTACACCTACTACGTCACCTAAGAAACATTTATTAACAACAATTATTATTAACAAAACTTGAGCGGTTTAGCTGTGCGTTGATCCAACAGTCAGTGAATCAGTCAGTCAGTTTCTTCTTTTATATTTATCTAATATAAAATTCTCGTGTCACAATGTTCGTTCCCATACTCCTCCGAAACGGCTTGACCGATTCTCATGAAATTTTGTGTGCACATCGGGTAGGTCTGAGAATCGGCCAACATCTATTTTTCATACCCCTAAATGGTAAGGGTGACCCATCCCTAATTTTTTTTTGTTTTGCAATACAACGTTTGCCGGGTCAGCTAGTATTTATCTATATATTTATAATTTAAGTACAAAGTTTAAATATTTTATGTTTTAATGTTTTTAATAAATGTACTACTCGTTTGGTATTCTGAACATGAAAGACATCATACCTTCTTAAGTATTTATAACCTAACTACCTTTTATCCATCCTTGTTTTATCAAACACCTTTTAAAATTAAACACTTATATCTCAATCCAATCACAAGCCTTAGTAGCAGTATTCACATCGATACTTCTGTCGTATTCCTGCCATATAAGGGATGTGCAATAAAAGTAAATAACCCCACGTCTGGCTCAGGTGTGTCGCCGCCGCGTAAACAGATTTAACTGCGCGTTGTTTGTAGCCGTTCCCTTACATCAGCCCTGTCCCTGCAGGTGCTTCCAACGTCTTCGAAAAAGGAGAGACTTTCCTGGTTTGAATAGCGTCGTTGAAGATGGTATAAACAAAGACATTGTACTGATACTTATTGAATTAGGACTTGTATAATCAGACAGTCAGATCTTTACAACAAACTTTATTTTCTTCAATAAATGTCTCTGCTATAAAAGTTTATAAGTACTGACGAATAAATGTTATCGTAAATGGTATTCATGTTTATAAACGGTTTTATTTGCATGTGTAGTTAAGTATAGTCACGTCCCCAATTACCCTAGTGGACATACATCCGTGTGGTGATGGATTAGGATTACGAAGTGTCATCGCCCCTATTCATCCCGTGGAGTGTAAGAGCCGACTAAAGGAGCAAACTATGTAGGACAATAGCACTGCTTGACACAAACCCTGTACCAACTCGTCTGGCCAGCGTGGTGTAGTAGGCCAAAACCTCCCTTCCAAAGAGAGGCCTATGTCTAGCAGTGAACTACTAAAGGCTGTTGATGATGCTAGGCCCTGAAGTTAGTGAAGCATCCTCGAAGAAATAAACTCGTAGCTAAAACCTATAAAAATATGACCTATAAATATAGGTGGCGTTGTGGTATGCGTTTGACGGCGACGGAGATCGCAGGTTCGAGAGAGTAGGACTGACGGCAAACATTTAATTTGTACTTATAGGAATGACTTAGTAGTTTTGAACTAAACAGTAGGTTTTGCTGTTGTCGAGGTACAGTGCTTTTTTGTTTCTGTGTTTGTAATTCACATGTATTACTGGATTGAAATGACACAATGTATATTTAATGCAAGATTAGTCTTACATTGAATTAATGTAATTGAATCCAAATTTAGTATTTTATCTATTTTTATAAGACATTTATTTTGGTATTCTAGTCTAGTAGGTCTAGTGATTAATGACACTGACCGCTAAGATATAGGTCGTGGCTTCGATTCCCACCGAGGGCAAATAATTTGTTCTGGGTCTGGGTGTATTTTATCTATAATGGTGCTAATTTTGTTGTTCAAAAACTCTCTTAACTAAACTAAAAATCACTAAAAATTAATTTAGTCCTGTCAAGTACTGCTTTTTCAGAATACGAAACATTTTTTGGACAGGACTAAATTAATTTTAATGATTTTTAGTTTAGTTTAGAGAGTTTTCGAACAACAGAATTAGCACCAATACGTATGTTTTTATAAAAATATAAGTATGTTTATCATAAGTCTGGTTACCCGCGTGTCAAGCAATTATTATTTCAGAAAAAGGAACAGCAAAATTAGTTTATATTTTGCTGTTCCTTTTTCTACTTCAAGAATTTCAAAGAGAACACAACATAATATGTACTACAGCTTGGTGTACTAAAGATCTTATGACCCAAACCATTCATTAACAGTCAACATAACCTTTACACGACTAAAAGCACATAGAATTCCCTAACTCGTTTTGTAAATCTATTCACAAGAGTTAACCTTTCACTGCTTCACGTAAAACAAGTTCGCACCATTAATTGCGCAATAATTTTGCAGTATCGCGCCGCACTTAGACAGGACAATCGTGGCGTGCGTGGATTCTGCGCCCGCGCATCCCTCGACCCAACTAAACGTTAATCGAACTCTGATGTACCGATAGCGTTTACGTAATTTAAGCGGATTTATCACAATTTGCTGTGTATTTAAGTAAGTTTGTTTGTTTGCATTAATCGCCGAACCGGAACACAACAACAGTTAAAAACATATTCTTAAATTTATTCTATAACTTATCTGCTTCTCCTAAAGAAAAAAAAATATTAATGTGTGTCATAAAAAGGCAATAGACAAAATTATGATACTAAAAATTTCAACACAAATTTGAGTTTGCAGATTCCTTCTGGAAATGAATCCACAGACGAGTCCATCCTACACAAGAGTTTGATTGGATATAATTTTAAGCATAGTTTTGTTCTTGTTTCTTTTAAAACAATTTAAGTATAGAGCTGGTAAAAGAACAAGTGACCAAACTGGTGTTGCGGGTATTTCTATTGCCACCAATAACAGCTGAGAAATGGATACATTGTACAGAATCAAACGAGTCGTATATTTATTTACTACCTTTGTGATCTAAGCATTTTTTTACTACAAAATTCAGTTGAAAGAGGTAAAATGATTTAAAAAATAAATAAACGAAAATCTGTACAATACTGCGAATTTTTATTTAAGTCTTAAACTTCCGTCAGTACTTCCTCAACGATATATTCAACTTTGGGTGACCATTCCAGGTCATGGACGCTACTGCGGAAGCATTTGGCTATTTCCAAAGCACGCAGACAGCCGTCGGCATTTCCACTATTCTTTGTCTCGCATTCATGGAGAGCAGAAACCAACTTCGAGGCTACTTCTTCTCCTGGAAAGTACTAAGGCTATGAATTCTTTCTTTTACTATAATATTATCTATTTATCTATCTATAAACAGTTAATGAATAGAATCAAAAGGCATTTTGCGGTGGTTTTTCAGGCATTACATCACAAATTAGGAATGCTCTATAAAACAAATCAAAACATTACAGTTCAACCTCATTACCAAAGATATTAAAGAAAAAAACTGGCTACCCGTTCAGGTTCAAAATCATATTAAACGGCATATCTGGTCAAATTAAATTTAAGAAATAATTTAGAATCTTTTACAGTTTTTTTTTAAATAAACATATTTAAGTGTCTTTACCAGCTCCATGTTTCATAGCAAATTCTTTAGCATTCCCATGATGTAACTTCCCGCTGGCATCTATCAGATCCAGCTTCTTCGACATGCAGATGATCATGCAGCCGGTATCTCTATTCAGATGGTCGTACTCCAATTTCCAGAAGTGAAACAAATCTCCTAGGATGTGATCGGATAAATTCAACTGTAAAAGATTTTGGAGCTTACAAAAATTTGCTTGAGTTATTTTCCCATTTTGAAAAAGATTGAAAAATAGTCTGGTCCTGTACATACCTCATGTTTACACTCTTCATAAACTTTCACAAATCCAGAACCAATATATTTCATGACATCTGTTGATGGTTCTGATTTTTGTATGCTTATTGCCAATAAAATAAGAGACCAGCACATCCTACTAGCTGCCATTTTGAACAAGAAATCGTCGAGGAAAACTATTCTTGAGTACTTATAAAGCCGTTCCACCAAGCGAGGTTTGTAATTAAGTTTAATTAATTACAGCAAATAATGATATGATCTTCAATGTGCGAATGTATGAATGGAAGTAATGACAAGGTTTGAGGTGACGTTTTACTGACGGATAATTAAGAGCCAAGCTCATGCAATTCTTAGTAACTTAAGATGCATGACATGTTTATTTCTTCCAATTGAAATGGTGCCATTGAAATTGGTTCACAAAAGGCGAGGATTGAGAACATTATCGTATTTTGAAAATGATTTCAAAAACATTTTTTTTATGGTTCCGTACCTCAAAAGGTTGAACCCTTATAAGACCAATTTCTTGTCCGTCTGTCCGTCTGTCAGTGTGTCACCACCGATTTTCTCTGGAACGGGTAGACCTAGCAAGTTGAAATTTATACCAGATACTGAGGTCTATGGTCTCTATTAGGTGTATAAAAATCAAGGTACTGAGTCAACACGATAAAAAGATATGGGCAAATTTCGATTTTCGCGAAAACAATTTTATTTTCAATTTTCAACTTGCTTTATTTTTCAAAATTTTCTCTTTACTTGTGCTGTACGACCTTGCTTTTAACCAAAATTGACAATTCTTTTTTTTTTTTTTTTTTTTTTTTTTTTTAACGTGTGGAAATCCCCTCGGACCGTCACCCCTCCGGGGTTTGCGGCGGGGTGGTGTGTCGGACTCGGACCGACTAAAACCACACGGTGTGCCACTCTGCGCCTGTAACAGGAGGGATCCGGGAACAGCTGTTGTTAAGACATCCGGACCCCTCCTAGCGCCAGCCCGCTCCTGGTGCGGGCTCCGTCTCAATGTGGATGTTCCTCTCTTTAGGCGACGTCCGGCACACGCGGACGCCGCCCCCTCGCGGCTGGCCAACTAATGCGGGTGGAGGGGAAACCCACCCCGTCCACCCGCGGCCACACTCAGGGCGGCATGAGGCTGTGGTAGGCGGGCCTCCGCCGCCCGGTTCGCCGGCGGCGGATCGGGTCCGAGTGGAGGTCGTCCTCCCGGGCCCTTTCCGCCGCCTCCTTCCGCGAGATTACTACCTCGCAGAAGGTTGCGACCGCGGTAAAACAACTGTCGCTACCGGCCATGGAGCGTACTACGGCCGGTAGCGAGAGATCCACTCCGATGACTGCAGTGAGGGCCCGGCGCTGCGCCGCCCATGCGGGGCAGACCGCCAGCGTGTGCTGGGCCGAGTCCTCACTGCAGTCGCAGTGGTGGCAGGCGGGACTCAGTTCCCTCCTAGCGACCGTGTGCAGGTACTTTCCGAAGCAACCGTGCCCGGAAAGCACCTGCGTCAGTCGGAAGGAAAGGGTCCCGTGCTGCCGCCCTGCCCACTCGGCGATGACCGGCTGGAGAGCCTCCACGGCGGCGAAGCCAGCGCGTGGAGTCTCCAGCCGGAACGACCAACGAGCCATCGTGGCTCGGCGAGCGGCTTCGCGCCACTCGCGCACATCCTCGGGCGGAGGGCGAAATCCGCTCTCCGCCCGGTAGTCAGCCACTCGCCGATAAACTTCGGCGAGCACTTCCGCCTCCAAATCCCACGGGGGAGTTCCGGCCAACGCGCACGCCACATCCGTCGAAACGGTGCGGTAACCGCGTATGGCTCTGACCGCCATTACCCTCTGAGGGCGCCAGAGGCGTACCCTATTCTGGGCGGTCAGAGCCGCCGCCCACACCGGTGCACCGTACAGTGCCATTGACCGGACAACCCCCGTGTACAGCCGTCTTGTCGCGACGCTGGGTCCACCCATATTGGGCAAAAGTCGCCCTAGGGCAGACGCAGCGCCGACCAGCTTTGGAGCAAGCTGTCGGAAGTGCTCGTCGAAGAGCCACCTCCCGTCGAGGATCAGGCCCAGATATTTCATCTGGGCCCGAACCGGTACGAGGACCGAGTTGACCACGATTGAGGCGCCAGGGGGTGGACCACGACGGGGCCCATGGAATAACAGGGCCTCCGTCTTATCTAGGGCCACCCGTAAGCCCAGCGCCTCAATGCGCCCGACCACCAGGGAGACTCCCCCTGTGGCCAGGCGCGCCGCCTCTTGGAAGTTTGCCCCCCGGGCTGTCACGAGGGTATCGTCTGCGTAACAGATTACACCCAGCCCGGGGGGGAAATCGGCGCGAAGGGCCCAGTCGTACCCTATGTTCCACAAGAGGGGTCCAAGAACAGACCCCTGTGGAACACCGCACGACATGGGCCGACACCTCAGATTACCTTCTCGGTCCTCGTACACGACGGTACGCTCCTCTAAATAGTCTGCCACTAGCCGCCTCAGGTACTTTGGCACCCCATGATAGTGGAGTGCTTCCCTGATGCAGCTGAATGGCAGACTATTGAATGCGTTGGCGATGTCCAGTGACACCGCCAACAGCACGCCGCCACAGCTCACGGCCTCTTCGGTCACGGCCCTCAGGCGCAACACGGCGTCGACTGTCGAACGCCCCGCCCGAAAACCAAACTGGGCGTCCGACAGATCGGGGCCCACCTCGCAGAGGTGCCGGACGATGCGGGCAGAAAGAACCCTCTCAAACAATTTGCCCGCCTCGTCCAGCAGCACGATGGGCCTATAGGCCGCGACCGAATCGGCTGGCCGTCCCGGCTTCCTCAATAGGACCAGCTTCCCGCTTTTCCAGCACTCAGGGAAGCGTCCCGACGCCAAGCTAGCGTCGAACACCTCCCCGAGGCGGTCTGCCATGTGGTTGAGGGCCAGGGCCAGCACTCGGGCCGGTACCCCGTCTGGCCCAGGGGCGGTGTTCTTGGAACGGATCCGTAGAACAGCCGCCCCTACCTCCGAATCCCGGACGGGCGGAACATTGTCCTCCCCGTGCTCCCCGTCGTCTCCGGCCAGGGAGGCCATCGACGGGGGAGTGTGTTCCGCTAAAATTGACAATTCTAGGTCAACCTTAAGTGGGTACTTCCGGTTGACCTAGAATTGTCAATTTTATAGTTTTTGTGTCGAAAACCTATATGGTAGTTCCCGTTGACCTAGAATCAAGAAATTTGGCAAAAAGAAACGTCTTACAGCACAAATAAAGTAATGATTCCAAAAAATTAAAATAAGTTGAAAATTAAGACAAATTTTGGTACTTACAAATTTTCGCGAAAATCTACGTAAAATCTGGGTAGGTACGGAACCCTCGACCGGTTTTTAATCTACTTTTCACTTTTATGTAGGACGCTTTATAATTTATGACTTATATCAATACAAGACAATAGCCTCATATTATTTACTCATCAGCTTCACCAAATATTGCTTTCCTGGTGCAGTGATGTTTATTGTTAAGAAGTTCTCCTGGTACTATATAATCGTCATAACGATAAAAAAGAATTTCACACACAAAATTAAAATATTTATTTTAACATTAAGATGCCGATTCGGATGTAATATCCTTAAGCCGGTATTTCATCCATCTCATCCAGGTTATCATCGCCGAGTTCTGGAGCCCAATGTAACCGAAAGATTCCGTAACGAAAGCATTTAAAGATTTCCAGTCCTAAGACACAGCCGTCTTCGGGTTTTTTGGTGATGGCTGCACGAGTACATAAAGTTAACAGCTCTATGATTTTTGAAGACATTTCAGGATCTATGAAAAGGATGGAAGAATTGACAATTAATTCACTGACACACCATTTGAAATCAAAACATCTTTTATATGTAAATAATTAAACGAACGATTAGGTTTTTACGGATTGAAAAGTGAGTTTCATAAATAGGTATTGATAGATACAGATCACTTAATGGTAAATAATTATCATCGGCTATGTGCACCACAACAGTCAGAAATACGTTGTTGAACTTTGAGATGAGATTACTCTCTTTTCTTTAAGTCTTAAGGGTTTCCTAAGGTCCATATCAGTCCGGAAATACCGCAGGTATTCAATTGGACGTTAATATTTTTTATTTTTTGCAACACTCGATAGATGGCGTTGTCCCGGTCGGCTGAATCGCGGTGGTAAGATTCTCCGGTCGTAGTATATAAGTTTCATAACAAATTTTTTTTTTTGACTTTGTGTGTTAATACTCACTTTAATAGCAAACCCACAGAACAGACAGTTATTTCTGTGAGCAAACAATTTTTTTATATAAAATATTTTCTAACTTTTTTTTTATAAATACTCTACTTGGGTACATAGCTGACAAGAACCTATTCTGTAACGCTTGATGATAAGCAGTCACATTATAAAAAGACGTCTTAATAAAAAAAAATACATTCTGATTATTAGAACACTAAAACAAAATGGCTACTACTTTTGACACACGCGTCACCAATCGCCAAAGAATAAAACTGTCAAAGTGATAGTTTCCTTACATTATTTCAAACAGTACTGAAAGATTTTTTTTATGGAAGAGGGGGCAAACGAGTAGACGGGTCACCTGATGGAAAGCGACTACCACTGCCCATGAGCGCTTGCAACGCAGGTGTCACAAGCGCTTTGCCGTCCTTTCAAGAAAGAGTACGCTATTTTTCATGAAGGTTTGAAGGTCGTATCAGTCCGGGAACACCGCATACGATACTTGTTCCACAGATTGGTTGTGCGAGACAAAAAGTGATTCCACCACCATCAATAGATAGTTTTAATGTTATAAGGATAGCTAACATTTATAGCGTTAAAAGACTCCCAAATGTAATAAAGATGTCATTACCAGCGCCATTCGCTTTGAGGAAAGTAATAGTATTGTCCCTTTTGACCTGGCCCCCTCGCTGCAACAAATCCAGTTTTTTCAGTACACAAGCGTCGGCGCAGCCTTGCTTTGTGCCTGTGAGCTCCTGCTTTGGGTTCCAGAAAGCGAGAAACTCATCAATTACGTCTTTACTAAGCCCCATCTAGGAGAAGTTTTTATTTTAAATTTACTAGTTGTATTTTAAACATTCTTTTTCACTACTCGCACTAGGTATATTTGCTGTGTTGCGGGGATTTTACAAACATACATGAAACAGACACAAAGAACACCCGGATTTAGAACACCAATTTGTGGATCACACAAAGTGTTCTTCCATGTGGTGATCGGACCCACAACACTCAGAAAGCAGGCAGTAGAAAACAGCGTGTTGACTGCTTGAACCACTACGCCATACGTGCAAATTGAATATTGACTCACAGTGAAAGGGGTATTTTTACCAAGGAATCCTGAAAGTGAATTCCAACCCTATAGTAATTAAGTCCATACTGTATTCTAATCAGATGGACTCAAGTAAATTCAGCTGCTCTAGGTCTGAGCGTACGCAGTACGTAGCCGAATTGAAAAAAAAATATATTTTTTGTTGCAGCATAAGAGTGCAAAATATCAGATGATAAGCATCATGTGAGACTTTAGTAAGGCTCACTCGTTTTTTAAGCATACCTACCTCCTGCTTGCACTCTAAAACAACATTGCCGATATGTTTGCTGATTGAATTTATCACTTTACTCTGCTGAGAACCAAGCACAGGTAGAAGCAGTACATAGAAGCAACTTGTTTTAAATAACATGTTGAAGAAACAATCTACCATATCCACATAAACCACGAATCCCTAATGTAGTCAGTTGTTGAATGAAACAGTGTGACTACTGGAAAATTGATTTGTGTTTCTTTTTAATGAGTTAATGTTCAATTTATAAAGTAATCAGTGAATGCTTTAGAATTAATTAAATTCGTCTATGGTGTTAACAAGTTTACGCTTTTACAAATATCTTACAGTTTCGCCGTTAATCCGTCTGCTTATCTTTAATCTGTCTTCAGTTTAGAGACTGTTAGAACTATTATATACGTATTAGGACCTCTGAAATATCTCCTTTTTGGTTAAGAATTCCAAATTCAAATTTAAAAACTCATTTAGCTGGTACATTTGAGTTTTGAAAACAGTCATTCATTTGTTTTTTCCTCATTATTTTTTTCTTTGGCATCGCTTATTACCGCACAATGGAAAACATGAAATATCGGTATATTTATGAGTACGAGTTCTACCGTGGCACCAGTGCTGCAGAAACAGCTCGAAGGATTAATGTTGTGTACGGCGCTGGTGTCGCAGAAGAAAGCACGATACGTTTTTGATTTCAACGTTTTCGTTCTGGAAATTTCGACCTTCAGAACCAGCCCCGAGGACGGCCGGAGACTAAAGTGGAAAATGAAGAATTAAAGGCTACTGTGGAAGCGGATCCATGACAAAGCACTTCAGAGATAGCTGCAGGCTTCGGGGTAAGTGATAAAACTGTATTAATCCACTCCAAGCAAATCGGCAAAGTAAAAGAATTTGATCAATGAACTACCTATGAAATGGCAAAAGTGCATAGATGTCAACTGCAATACCAATAAAGCATATCACAGATTAGTATTTTTTGTTTTGTGATACAAGGCAAAAGAGCAGACATTTTACTTTATGGGAAGTGACCGCGCACGGAACTCATGCACCTCAAGAAATAAATAATTCCTTAAAAAAAAAGTTGAACTAACTTCAAACAATACTAACATAAAGCACTAAAAATTAAAAATAATTACAAACCTAAGTAAAAAAACTAAATAAGTACCCTCTATATAACAGGTAACATTATAATAGCAATAGTCCTTTCTAGTCTGTTTGAAGTCGGTACCAATCCAAATAGGTGTTTGATGCGCTTGGTAGAATGTAGCGCGGCAGCTGCAAGAGTCTTCATGCTACGCAAAACATGCTGAACGAGCTAAAGTGTTTTACGCGCATCTCCAATGATATTATTATTTTGAATGCTTTATTAAGTAGTTGATAAGTTTGCGCACGTTAATTATAGTATACTATATTGAATTCTAAATGTTATATTGTGCTAATATAAAGCTGGCAAGGACCAGTATTAGTCAGTGTGCATCGGGGTTGCACCATCTTCAATCAGACTAGAAGGGACTATTGCTATTATAATGTTACCTGTTATATTGAGGGTCCTTGTTATATATATGTCTTTTACTTAGATTTGTAATTAATATTTTAATTTTTAGTTGTCTTTGTCAGTATTGTTTGAAGTCGGTTCTATTTTTTTAAAACGATTTATTTTACAATTTTTAGTGTAAGATATGTTTGTAATGAGTAGATAATTACGATATTTAAAACACTACGTACTGTAATGTGAAGTGCCATACTGTAATATGTTAGATTCTATTAAATATAATTTAATAAGTCCGTTACTTTATTAAGATAAGTTAGTAAGAAGTTACATTTGAAGCCGAAAATATATTGTTTCCCACATTACTTAATTTTACAAAACTAGGACTTTTTTATTCACATTTGAATGGAAATAAAGGGAGAAATATACCTAAATAAAAAAAAAGAATTTTCATAATCGTTTAAAAATCGTTTTACAAATTAATGAGTTTTGAGGTAACAGACGCAAATACCGATAAAGCTAGAGAAATAAGCTAAAACATGTTGTCGGGGCTGTAAAATTTGAAGGTTAACCTCGATTTCTCTAGGATCCCATCTTCAAATCCTGATTTGGTGGTAATGGGACCACTTCGGGAGTAAACCCTATGTAACTTTTTATAAGACTAAAATATATTTTTTTAAATGGATTCACAATTTACGGAGATGTCGCGTAACAAACATACAAAAAAATAATACTGACAAATTGATAACCTCCTCTTTTGTGTTTTTGAAGTCGGTTAAAAATGCGTTGCCCTTTGTTAAGAGTGACAGGGAATTTAATTTTTAAGATTAATAGATAAATTTTAAGTAAGATTTTTTGTTGATGTTGTTAAATTTTTGTAAGTCAGTAAAGAACTGTATGTAGTTTTTATATTTCAATTCGTTAAACATATGTAAAAGAGTATCCTACATCATCAACAGCCTTTTATAGTCCACTGCTGGACATAGGCCTCTCCTTAGAAAGGAGGTTTTGGCCTACTATACCACGTTGGCCAGGCGGGTTGGTATAGGGTTTGTGTCAAGTTTTCCTTCTTTTTGCAGTGCTGGTGTCCTGCGTTGTTGTGCACCCTTAGTCGCCTCTTACGACACCCACGGGATGAATTGGGGTAATGACATTCCGTATTCTTAATCCGTCACTACACGGATAATCCGTCACTACACAGTATCCTTACCGATCACTAAGACGGCGTTAAAGCATCCGAGAGCCAGACTCTACAAAGTGCCAGACTCTGAAGAGCATCATTGATATAAAATTAGACAACCACGATACTCTTTAACCAGATGCTTATATAAATCTAGTTATTCCCTATTTGCTGCTGTAGTTATTACATAAATTAAAACAAACAAACAATTGCATTGTGTATTTATTGTATTACTACCATGGAGAAATCTTTTATTCTACCCTTAATCCTATGTGACGAGGGAGACTCCTAACCCTAAGTATTAGTCTTAAATATAATGGTTAATCCGTTGAACATGCCGCGTTGTTAAAGGTGCCACTCGGTAACATTATAAATTTATGTATCATAGGGAGAATACATGTAATAAAATAAAGATTGTGTAAAGATGAAACTATGTCACGTGAATTTCATAGAATAATAATTGTTGGGGCAAACGGGGCTGGACAGCACTGCGGTTTGTCTCGCCCAACCAGTTGTCTGCCTCACCTACAGTTATAGTATTGCTACTTCGTATACAAAAGCGATGGAGCAGATTTGTTTAGAATGAAAAAAAAAACAGTTTCCTAAGCTTCAGCTAACATTTCTCCAACGACGAGATCAATGCTAGGTGCCCAGTTGAGCTTGTGTATCTCCGCCTTGAAGCAAATAGCTGTGTTTAGGGTCTTCTGACAAGGGTCATCTGGGGCCTCAGGACTGGTCGCAGCACAGTTGTGAATGATGTCTACCAATTGCTTTGCCATTGCATCATCTGCAGGTAATTCAACAGCTTTCAATTATGGGTAAAATATGAAATGGTTGCAAAAAATCATTCAGAATTCACATAACTTTGTTTATTTCTTTGTGCTCCTTTCCTCTTTAGGAACAATATTATCTTATCAAGGGTACTAAAGCGAACATAATGAGACTATTATACAGACAAAGAAATTCTGATCTCGAGGGTTAGTTGACTGATAAAAGATACATCATCGCAAACGAAACTACGGGTAAAATTTAGTTTTTATATAATGGCCATCACTAATTTATGTGTTTAAGGAAGCAGCCAGCTCGTATCGGTAGAGGACTGAACAGGATTTAACAGCTACCTTTTACCATTATAGATTTCGATGGTAAATCTGATGGTTTAGCAAACATCCAAAAATCATACTAACCAGCTCCATGTTTCCTGGCAAAATCTTGAGCGTTGCCACGGTGGAGGTTCAGATCACTGTCCAGCAGTTCCAGTTTAGCGGTAACACATAGAATGGCACAACCCATGTCTCGGTTTTTTAGTTCATAACCTTCCTTCCAGAAGTTGTAGAAATCTTGCATCACCGTTTCGGGGATATCCATCTACAGATTTCATCGTAATTATTTTCTGTACTAATTTAAATACTCTTTTCGTAAATATCTGGCCTGTTGGTCGAGCGACCCTGCCTACTAAGCTTTAGGTCGTGGGTTCGATTCCCACCCAGGACAAATAATTATGCCATGAGCACGATCATTTGTATATGGGTGTAATTTATCTCTTTAATGTATGTATTTAGAAATGTTTAAGTATGTTTATCAACAGTCTGGTTACCATAGCACAGGCCTTGCCTAGTTTGGGATCAGATTGCCGTGTGCGAGATGTGCAAAGTCATACATTATTTATTTATTAAATTTCAGTCACAAATTTATAGCCCAAATTGTACGTACCTCTTTCCGACAAGCTTCCAAGGGCTTGCCAAAGTTGATAGACATCTGCTTCATGACTTCCTGTGATGAATCCACCCTTATCGTCAGACAGACGACCACTAAGATGGCTAGCCTTACAGACATTTTCTTCTATGACTAAAGCTCTTCTGTCCTCGTACCCTGGCTTGACGTTATTTTATTCATCTTTTAACTACCACTGTCTGACATGATAATGAGTTTATTATGCGTTGTGATATCATGATGGGCAATTAATGTAGTAATTAGAAGTATACTCGTTCATAAAATTCTATGGTGCGCTGTATCGTGTTCCTTTGATATTGTGACATGATAACTGGTTAATTAGTGTTATTCATGGCCTCGTTATAACACTCCTAATCTATCGAATTCATTAACGAAGTATAAAAAAATGGCTGCTGGTCAAAAACATTCGGTAAATAACTTAAGATACAACTAGGCTTGGATGACAGGTTTTGAGTTGATCAAGGCAATGTTTTATGAAGAGTTTTTTGTTGCGAAAGCGTCAAATGAAGATAGCATAATATCGTAGTTTGTAGACTTTGCAGTTAGAATACGTTGATCATGGGGCATAGAGCCTACTAGTGCCGATAAATACGTTTGTTCAAATTGATCTTGGTGTTACTATGTGTATACATTTAGATGTCTCGTTATTAACTCATATAAGAGATCTTAATATTTATTTGATACTACACTAGCCTTCGTCGGTTATCGAAGTAAAAAGTAGTATATGTGTTTCCTCAAGAATCAAAGTAATTCTAACTTTCATTAAATCAGTTTGGCGGTTATCCCCATACAAACTTTCATCCCGCTTTTCACCACCTTAAAGGATAATTTTTGGGTTAAAAACACAGATTACCCCCTAATAGATTCCGCATTATTGAATATTTGTACCGATTCTAGTTCGCTAAATTTGGCAGTATGCAAGGGTTACGAGGGACGTGTCAAATGCGCTTTGATTGGATGTTTCAAAGTTTCAAACATATGCGACTTCGACAGCGCCTGGAACTGCGACCCAGTTATAGGTTTAGGGAGTACTCCTTGCGACGAGCGCTCACCTCCTCTGTCTGCTGTGTTACCCCCTCTGCCTAACCATATTTGATACGAGCCGACGTTAAATACGGAATGTTACCACTCCTATTCATCCCGTGGTAAGAGCCGACTAAGGGAACAAACTGCACAGGACAACAGCACTGCAAAAAGAAGGAAAACTTGAAACAAACCCTATACCAACTCGTCTGGCCAGCGTGGTATAGTAGGCCTAAACCTAATTTTTAAGGAGAGGCCTATGTCCAACAGTGGTCTATTAAAGGCTGTTGATGATGATGATGAATCTCACTCCCTCGTGAAAAGAACCGACAGTATTGCTTAAGAGCTGTTTACTGTGAGGTCTCGGTATCACTCCGGTCCAGCCGGCCCATGTGCGTTGAAGTATGGGACTCCCACGGTTAGTAGGGCCAAATGTTGAGTACCATAGGTTAGAAATCACCCATCACATGAGGCACAGATTTGTGTATTTGATTTTTATATATATATATTACTGATTTTAAAAATGAATATAAAATGAACATACGTTTCACAGAAGCCTTAGGATCTGTCTTCCAACAGCCTTTTACGCTTTTTCATAAAATGAAAATTGTCTCCTGTGTAGTGTCTTAAGCATATCACACCATTTTGGTAGAAAACCAATCGTCCCCTCGACAAGTTGCGTCGATCTACGTCTTTTTTTTGGGGCATTTAGGAAACCAATATAATTTTCCGTGTGGTGACGGATTAAGAATACGGAATCTCATCACCCCTATTCTTCCCGTGGGTGTCGTAAGAGGCGACTAAGGGAACAAACTACGCAGGACAACAGCACTGCAAAGAGAAGGAAAACTTGAAACAAACCCTATACCAACCCGTCTGGCCAGCGTGGTATAATAGGCCAAACCGTCCTTTCTAAGGAGAGGCCCATGTCCAGCAGTGGACTGGTAATGGTTGTTGATGAGGAAACCAATAACATACGATACGATACACCACTATTTTTACAAAATAATGACTTCAATAAAAAAAAACTAAGAATGACCAAGCAAATATCAACCTATGCATCACAACACTATCGATACACGTGCTGTCATTAAACAAAGACAACTATTGTAATTTACGTAATGAGTGAAAGGGACATTTAATAAAGACATCAACGGGTGCTTAATTGTTATTACTTAGCACCATTATAAGTTGAACTCCGGTGCATTTGAAATAGGTTAACGTGATAAGAATATAATTAGCTATGAAATTTAATATCATCTTTTTGATAACTGGATGTCTTAGCTGACTTGCCACACCATTTCACTTTACGGGAAGCCATTTCTACTATATTTTGATATAAAATTATTTTAAATTATCAAGAACTCGGACGTGCGTACGGGTCACGAGCTTGGTCGTTACTAATGTCGTGATTCTTAGCGTCACGTCGTATTCTAGCTACAGCAAGTATGTGCGGAATCTATTAAGGAGTAATATGTAGATAAAAACTATAGGGTCCTTTACCGGGACTCGGACTATCTCTATACCAAATTTTATCTTAATGGGTTCAGCGGTTTAAGCGTAAAGAGGTAACAAGCAGACAGACAAACACACTTTCACATTTAGAATATTACCATGGATTACTAAAAGCATATCGTAGAAGACACGAAGGTATGTTAGACGCCAGGATCAAGGCCTCTACTAATGTGTACTTTTATCACTTTTGTTCTTCGACACGACAGTGTTTATTTGCACAATTAGGTAGAAAACAACATTAGGTAGGAAGCGTGATTTATCCGTGGGGATTTCCGCAAGGAAAAAAAAAGGTAGAAAACGTGATTGGAGCCATGAGTTTGTTTGCCCTTTCTTCTCATAAGGCTCAACCCCTGGGAAACGGGCGGTTGTAGATCGACACAGGCATATCATAGATTTTGTATGGGTTTAGTCTACATAAAATTTTGAAAATTTTATGAAATAAAGAGAGTTTGAGTTTGAAATATCGACACATAATCGATCACAGGCTGTCGCTAAAATCTAATATGTGATAAATAATAATTTGGAAGTTTGATACACGAGAAGACCAACAGTCAGAGCCACTAAGTGTTGTTCAAGAACGAACGAATACAAATGCTACCCGAGGGCCCGGCCCAATGCAAGTTTATTTCACATCGACTCGCTCTCGACGTCGAGCGCAATTAGCGTTGCGATTGGTGGAGATTTCAGCACAGGCCAATCGTCGCCGAACGCGTCACCGTGACGATCGAGTAAAAGTGAAATAAACTCGCACTTGGCCTTCTGTATATTTCTTACGTCTCAGAAAGGCCTAGTATAAGTTTACTTCACGTCATCTCTATCGTTACGGTGACGGCGTCCGGCGTTGCGATTGGTGAAGAGAGTCGCCAAACGCGGTCAGCGTCAAAGACAAGCACTGTCTTTCATATGAGTTTAGCTTTCTTAAATAGGTTCAGTTGGTGAGAAGTTAACTGTAAGCAAAGAATCAGTTAAACTAGCATAGCGATAGGCTTTTAAGAACGTAAACGTGAATCTCTGTTAAGCAGTAAATGTAAGTCCCTAAAACCGAGAGGATTGGACATTATTGGGAGTCAACTTGTCAATACCAATGTCACTATGATTTCGGATCCAAAGAACAAAGCCAGGACCTTACATTTAGCTCTTAAAGATCTGACCAGTTAAATGTTCAAACATATGCGTATATAATGAAATAGTTACATTATCCACATAAACGCTGATATCGTTTACGTTTTTGTTATCTGTATATCGGACGAATTTAGGGAAGCAAGCACCAATTGCTAGGATGACTCGCGAATATGACTCCATTTCAGTTGCTTCGGAGGACATAGACATCTTTTCTAATAGTCTGGGTAAATTTAAAAAAAAGGTTCGCACTCATATATTGAACACTGTGTGATTGTTGACGTACCTCCTTACCATTTAAATTTTGAATTTAAACCGGCTGCTCATTTACAATTTCTTGCACAATTGATTGTTATAATTCTTTCATTGGTATTTTTTTTATTTACAAAGGCCATTTCTGGCCACTGTTTTTGATCTTTTTTTTGTAATGTCCATGTTGTGGTCTCCTATGATTGAGGAAGCACAAGACTTAAAATTTAATTTGCTTTATGACTAGCATGTAAGGTGTATTTCTTGTTGGAGATTCAATAAAAATAAAATCTGTCGTAGCGGTGGTCAATTACCTCGTTATAAAAGCAAGTAATGTAAAACGGTAATGTAAGAAGGTAAACCAAACTAAAATACTAAACCTTCTATGTCATAGCCTCATGGAGATCCTATATCGATTATAAGGCTAAATGTGGATGATATGACACCATCACTATACCTACGTCCGTTTTTGTAATGGTCGGACTTACCACAAAGTAAATCTAAGAGATTGACACGATATTTTGACGTTATTTTGTGAAAAAAATAAAAAGAAAAACCTGCATGTATTCCTTCAACAATGAAATATAATACTGAATAAAAATTGTTTTTTTTTTACATTTTCTTGCTTGCTAAATACTAAAACTAATAAAACAGTTGTATCAGGTCCGTAATTGTCGTATAACTTGCTGTCGAAGAGTCCAACAGTTTAGTATTTCTCCATGACAGCTTCGATCATGGTGACTTCGGGTGCAATGCCTTCCTTCTTGGCGTCGGTCTTGAAGCAGGCTGCCACTTTGACGACTCGTTCGCAGTCATCCGTCATGTCGTCGTATTGCTTCTCGCAATTGTGTATCAGATCCACCATCTTGGCGGAGAGGACTTCGCCTATATCGATTAAATAAATACAGTCAATTTTATCACTTTTTTATCCTAAATAGTTACTGAATTTTTATTATTAATTCAGGACTTAAGTATATGTATAAATATAATATAATAAAATATAAATATTAGTCTTAATAGAAAAGGCGTATTTAACTTTACACTATATCAGACGTATTAAATCCACTATTACAGAATACAAAAAAAGAACAGTGCAAATTATTAACTGTCTTTGTAACTATAAGATTAAGACCACATCGCGTGCTGCACCAAAAAATAATGTTATAAAAATTTTAACCAAGCTTTATTTTTAAAGCAATATTAATGGAAACATCAATAGTGCTGTTCTTAAAAATCTTGGAACTGCATTGGATATAATACTTATAATAAATCTATAGCTTTATAAAAGACCATCAAGTTGACTCGATTAAAACACGCACATTTTTACATCACTATTCAAGTCCGTGTGGTGACGGATTAAGACTACGGAATGTCACCACCCCTATTCATCCCGTGGGTGTCGTAAGAGCCGACTAAGGGAGCAAACTACGCAGGACAACAGCACTGCAAAGAGAAGGAAAACTTGAAACAAACCTTACATCAACCCGTCTGGCGAGCGTGGTATAGTAGGCCAGAACCTCCTATGTCTAGCCTAGTGAGAGGCCTATGTCCAGCAGTGAACAGTTATAGGCTGTTGATGATGATGATGATGATTCAAGTGTGTTGCTAACTATTGTTTTACGTATTGTGCAATATTTCCTAAAACAGACAGGGGGGCAACGCAAGCTTCATCCCATATTTTTGGTTAGTTATTTAACAATGCAGACAGAAGCGAGTTATAAATTGCATTATTATTTTATGTGTGTGTCTTCATAAGTTATTATAAACGGGATATCCACCATGTTTAGTTTCGGGTATTAGTTGCCGATAATTCGTCACTGTTGCAAGCACGGATGAACACAGATGAGCTTGCCATGGTGCTATATGGTGAATATCCCATTTCTAATAACTTATTAAGTGAAAATGACTACGGTAGTTTAAATCAATACATATTATGTGTGTCATCACCGTGTGGTGACGGATTAAGAATACGGAATGTCACCACCCCTATTCATCCCGTGGGTGTCATAAGAGGCGACTAAGTGAGCAAACTACGCAGGACAACAGCACTGCAATAAGAAGGAAGATTTGACACAGACCAAACACGTGTCGTAAAGTAGTCCAAAACCTCCTTTCTAAGGAGAGGCCTATTTCCAACAGTGGACTATTATAGGCTGTTGATGTGATGATGTGTGTCGTCATCGTCAACGGTTAAATTGATTTTTCTAGGTTTTTCTTAATAAAAAAGTTACTTAAGCGTACCGGGAATAAATTATTTCACCGCTTAAAGATTATAATTATTAGTTTGAATCGGAAGCGGTTTCTAAATTTATTTTATTTTTGATTTAGTTTAGTTTAGCAGTTTGTTTTATTATTTTATTTTAGTTTTAATTAAACTAAATGCTAACTAAACCAAACAAGCAGTGAGTCAGTATTTCTCCATGATTTCGTGAGAGTATCAGTAGTGTATAAAAGGAATCAAACCCGTTACCACTTGCCGCAACCAGAACAAGTCTATATAAATTACCGTTAGGAAAGGTTTTGATGTAATCGTCCATGTTGACGTGGTGCATTCTGGCATCGTCCTGCATCAGACTGAACTTGTTCGACATACAGATGATGGCACAACCCAGCTCCCGGTGGACTATTTCGAAGTTTTCGCTCCAAAAGTGCTTAAACTCCTCCATGATCTCCGGGGAAAGACCAGACTGAAGGTGTACAGATGGAAACACATCAGTAATAATTGTGATCTTACAACTACACATATAATAATACATTCACACAACGCCATCTAGTCCCAAACTAAGCAGAGCTTGTACTATGGATACTAGACAACTGACAAAAAAAAAGTACAAAAGTACATACATATTTTACATAGAAACACCCAGACTAAATCAAACATTAAATGTTCATGCACACAAATGTTTGACTTGAGCGGGAATCGAACCCGCGACCTTTGGAATAGCAGTCCGTTACACAAACCATCCGATCCTCGACATATACATATATAATGCCTACGATCTAGAATATATCTTTAAGATTTGTCCATAGACAGTTATTTATACTAAGAATGGCTGCTACCGTTTGCACTTACCCATTTGCATATAAAAAATGAGTAATACAAAAGGGAGTTCTCTAAATATATTGACGAGTTCCCAAATTGATGATTGGAACATGACATGTAAAAATAGTCCAGTAGTCTTCGAAGGACCATATGATAAAGAGGGACATTTTTAATATAATAAGGGTAATTAAACATAGAATTGATAGTAACAGAAGCTGGTGTTATCTTTACAGTTTTTTAACGATTCTTCTATCTATTTTATGTGATGATGATCACGTTATTTGTGTGGAGATGGATTAAGAATACGGAGTGTCATCACCCCTATTCATATAGTGGGTGTCATTAGAGCCGACTAAGGGAGCAAACTACGCAGGACAACAGCACTACAAAGAGAAGGAAAACTTGAAATAAACCCTATACCAGCCCCTCTGGCCAGCGTGGTTTAGTAGGCCAGAACCTCTTTTCTAAGAAGAGACCTATGTCGAATAGGTCACTATTAAAGGAGAAGAAGGGAAACCTCGAATAGGTCAGGTCACATATTTGTCATTCGACTTTAAATCATTTTTGGAAAGAACAAGGCCTCTTTTTTTCTCTTAAAATTACGTACCTCCTCTCTGCACTCTTCAAGGGCCTTCCCAAAATGCGCGGTGACATGACTCATCACCTCCGCAGTACCTCTGACCGAGGAGGCGAGGGTGGCAGCCACGGCCAACAACAAACAATACCTGGACATCATCTTCCCGCTACTGTACCACACGGCTAACACCCACTGTTTATATAATACTTGAAATTTTTTTGTTTGATAGAATTGTATACTATTAAATATACTTAGAATGCTTGCGGTTGACAAAACACTTATTCTAGCCAGATAAGGTTTAATTTAGCTTAATTGTATTGCATATAATATGTTTGTTAGGTAGAGACTGATGATTTTATCAAAGGACATAATGCAATGATTGGTTGTAATTGGTTTTGAAGTCGCCAGTCATATTATATATGGTTGTTAGGATAATGAATAGTTGGGGAACATTGTGTTATATGTCTGTATTGGCAGGAAATCTATGTCGTAACCTTAAATTATTTAGTATTGACGTATCATATTAAATGTTTTGCATATTGTTTATATTGAAAAATGATTTGAGATTCATATAGTACGACTAATATTTTATTCATTTTCATTTTTTATTACCAAAAAGAAAAGTACAAAATATGTGATACATTGCCGGTGGCCAGACACTAGGCAAGCCTGTCCTGTGGGTGCCAGTTACGATTACACATTTCGCTATACATTATTGTTCGGTAGACATTACATCGTCGTTTTCAATTTAAAGTATACTGTGTAGTATACTGTAAAGTATACTAGTGTTACTTGCTTATGACCAGACCTATTCGAGGTTTCCCTTCTTCTCCTTTAATAGTCACCTATTCAACATAGGTCTCTCCTTAGAAAAGAGGTTTTGCCCTATTAAACCACGCTGGCCAGACGGGCTGGTATAGGGTTTATTTCAAGTTTTCCTTCTCTTTGTAGTGCTGTTGTTATGCGTAGTTTGCTATTTCCTCCGAGTATGCGTTCGGAAGAAAACAATTGCCGTCCCAAACGAGTTGGCAACAAAAAAGAAGATAAAAAAAGTTGAAAAATGATTAAAAATTAAAAACAATAATATTAGCTAATACATGCATGAGGTTATTTTATAGATATTAATATTTTAAAGATAAAAATAACTAAATGTGTGTGTCTAATATAGACACACACATTTAGTTATAGGGTTTAGGTTTAGGGTATTGAAAAGTGAATTAAAAAATAAAAATTGCAGATGCCAGGAGTCGTAAACGCTTTCCTTTATTTTTTTATTTTTATTAAATTCTATTCTTCAAATAACTCTATGATTCTTAATACTGTTTTAACCAGACTTAGGGATAATCTTGTTTTTATATTGAAGGTAATCGTTATTAGGTTCTAAGGCTCGGGTTTTCCGACAAAGCCAAATCAAGTTGAATATATGCGATCTTGACTATGTTGCCCAATCCATCTGTATCACATCAACAGCCATTAATAGGCCAAAATCTCTTACGCAAATATAAATGGCAAAACTTCAATTTTTAATACGCCTCCTTCTACGACTTTAAGCATATAGGCGTGAGTATGTACGCGTGTACAATTTTTACTCCCTCAAGTTAAATTTACCAAAAACATCATCAAGGGACAGAGTACTTCATCATCATCATCAACTTTAATAGTCTACTGCTGGACATAGGCCTCTCCTTAGAAAGGAGGTTTTGGCCTACTATATCACGCTAGCCAGACGGGTTGGTATAAGATTTGTTTCAAGTATTCCTTCTCATTGCGGTGCTATTGTCCTGCGTAGTTTGCTCCCTTAGTACTCTTAACAGAGTACTGAAAGGGAGAGTTTTTTTGAACTACTTAAAGTCACATTTTCAAGAGTAATGTCTCCGAAGCCTACACACCTACACATATTAGCCCTCAATATCAGGTTCTATTCTGGCCACGTATTCCATCTCACGGGCCATTGGTTTGAATCGCTTGCATACGTGAACAACCCCTGTCCCACAATGGTGATGCATAGCGGGTGGAGCTACGAAAACTTACCTTTTTAGGGTAAAAGGTTGGTGTTTAAAGTTGTATTGATCAAGATTCGATAAACTTGATAAGTTTAAATTTTACCCTAACAGCTAGCTGTTGGCCGTGGCGTCGCTCGTGTGATTATTTCGTGTTTCTCACTTAGAAAATGATGAACTGCCATACAACTGTTCATCCCTTATTAACCCCTTAGGGGTGCAATTCCCAAAAAAAAAAAAATTGTTCTTAGTGAGAAAATTTCAAGTTTGCAGCCCCAGCAGTATAGGCTCTGCGTTAGACATGGCACAAAATCACAGTGAACTGTAATTTATCCTTCAATTTTCGCGTACATAGGTTAGGATTGCTAGGTAGGTAGGTTAGACGCTATTTAACAGTAAATCTAGTATTTCTTTAAATTCAAATTATTTATTTTGCAGAAAACACTATTACAATGGTGTTAAAAAAAAATTACAGGTTTCAAGTGCTTCTACCGTAAGGCATGCAAAATTATACAGTGTAATTTATCAAGATCAGAATCAGGATTGACACTGAAACATTATAAAGTTATAAAATATAATATAATAATAATATATGTTTAGGATATTAAATTAATGAAATGTCCTTCTTAGAGTTATACTCGTAGTAATACAAGTCAATTATCCATCTATCATCAATTCATTAATTATTAATCGTATTTGGTCTTTACAAATAAATTGTGAAAAGTAAATTAATTATTTAAATGTCAATCCTCGAATTATTATAATAAATTAATAGATAAGAATTAAATATAGAAAAAACATTATGCATTTCACAATATTAACAGATATAGTTATTATTATTGTCAGTATCATTAATATGAGATTCTTATATTCTGGAGTAGTAAATTTCATGAGTGTAAGAAATTGAACATTACAATAATATGTCATTAAAAAACTCATTTACACTGTAGTAGCATTTATTGATGAGCAGTTTGTGTAGTTCTTTCTTTAATTGGCTCAACTGTAAGTTTTTTATACTGTCAGGTAATTTATTAAAGATTTTTTTTTAATTATTATGTAGTGAATGGTAGATACATATATATAACAAAACAATTACTAGATTTATTGTTAAGTAGGCGAAATAGGGTCTTTAGGCATCGTCTGAAAACAGCTTATTGGCAACAACGCGTGGCAAATTAACGAAAAATCGAATGATAAATCACCGATCATTCACAGTTCGCTGTGATTTTATTCCATCTATACTCTGCGTTCGTGTGGTTACGGATTAAGAATACAGAGTATCACCACCCCTATTCATCCCGTGGTTGTCGTAAGAGCCGACTAAGCGAAAAAACAACAGCACTGCAGAGAGAAGGAAAACTTGACACAAACCTTATGCCAACCCGTCTGGCCAGCGTGGTATAGTAGGCCAAAACCTCCTTTCTAAGGAGAGGCCTATGTCCAGCAGTGGACTGTTATAGGCTGTTGATGATACTCTGCGTTGATTAATCAGTCAGTCATTGAGGGCATGACGTGTATTATGAAATGAAGCTGTTCCTTTATTTTTCAAATGCTTAATGTTCTCATAATATTTGATTTCTTTAGATATTGTAAACATTTGTAGTCATGCCTCAAAATTAAATAATAGGTCTTTACCTATGAAATTGCCGTTTTGTATGCAATAAGTGAAAGTACTTATTTTTTCAAACTTTTTTATTTCTGTTATTCGAAGTAATCACCCATGCAATCGACGCATCTCTGCCAACGCATTGGCAGTTTATTGATGCCCATCTTGTAAAAATCAGCTGGACGGGAGGCAACAAACTCTTCAAAGGCATTTTGTACTGCATCTCGGGAATTGAATTTTTACCCACTAAAAAGTTGTCTAAATTTTGGAAAAAGTAATAGTCGGTAGGTGCAAGGTCTGGTGGTCACATCTGCAACCAGCTTTGGTTCATCGGTCGTCCCCACTGCTCCTTCACGGCAACGCGCGACCCCATACTGCGCAACAGACAGTCTCCAAGCTGCAAGAGCTGGGGTTGGAAGCTCTCCCTCATCCGCCATACTCACCAGACCCTGCACCTACCGACTCAGCCAACTTTCACCTACCAGCTACCTTTCAAAAAATCAGGCAACTTTTTAGTGGGTAAAAAATTCAATTCCCGAGAGGCAGTACAAAATGCCTTTGAAGAGTTTGTTGCCACCCGTCCAGCTGATTTTTAAAAGAAGGGCATCAATAAACTGCCAATGCGTTGGCAAAGATGCGTCTATTGCATGGGTGATTACTTCGAATAACAGAAATAAAAAAGTTTGAAAAAATAAGTACTTTCACTTATTGCATACAAAACGGCAATATTTTATGACATACAACGCCATCTAGTTTCAAACTAAGCAGAGATTGTACTATAAAAGCTAGATTGACAGATGGAATATTTATATACTTTTTTTTTGTAAATAAACACATATAATATATAGAAAACACCCAAACTCCGAAACAAATATTTGCAGATCATACAATCATTTGGTTCGACCCGGGAATCGAACCCGAGACCTCACATATAAATAAAGTCATATTATTATTAATGTCGATATTTCTTATCTATTTATATGACGACCGAATGGAGTAGTGGTTTGTGTAACGGACTGCTATTCCAAAGGTCCAGTGCCAGTCCCAAACTAAGCAGAGCTTGTACTATGGGTACTAGACAACTGATATAAATACATATATACTTTTTTTTTGGTCAATACATACTTATTATACATAGAAACACCCAGACCAAATCAAACATTAAATGTTCATGCAAACAAATATTTGACTTGAGCGGGAATCGAATCCGCGACCTTTGGAATAGCAGTCCGTCACATAAACTACTACGCCATTCGGTCGTAAGTAACGCAGGTAACAATGTTACTAGTTTTTATTTTTTATTGTGGCTCTTTACCTTGAGACAACCGTACCATTAACTTCCACCAACTCGAAGCTATCATTAAGAAATGAACCCATACCAAAAACAAATACTCAATGACAGTTTACAAATAGTTTGTCGCTAACTTTATGTTGTGTGTCCTGCTTACAAAAGGCAAGTACCTACCTATAGACATAAGTTATAAAATAGGAATGTGAAAAATTGTTTTCCATTTATGTACGAAGTTACTGTCTTGCTAACTATAGCAGTATTTTTTGTGTATAAAATATCGCTATGCTAGGGGAGAGATACGACTCATGAAGAGTTTCCATGGAGATTCGTTCATTGTCCTCTAAATGTCACAAAGATTCTTCACTTGTCAAAAGGATTAATAAAAGCTTATTCCTCTGTCAATGTGTGTAAAAATTCAAATTTTTAGTTTTATTATTAAGTGTGAAATAGTGGTGTGTGATAAACATTGTACACCACTATTTCGTTAAATATATTTGCCACAAATTCTTTGCCCCGTGTGAGTGAAGCCTCGAAACTATTCTTAGCAGAGTTTTATCATCAATCATAGGTACCTAGGGGTTGAACAGAAACAGTGATCTGTCTACAGTAATAAGCGCACCGCTGACAGGTCGAGAGAGGGTAGAATTAAAATGGTTTTTCTGTTTACCTGTGTTTGTGTTTAATAGATTTTGCAAAGGATGTTTCATATTGATTTTAAGGTGCTATCATACTCACTGAGGCAACGATACTAATAATTATTTTAATGATATGGCAGTGTTGTTGATATCACCATTGATGACCTATATTACCATATCGACAGTCTATTGACACTGTGAATTTATGTTAATAGAATACCGATATTTTGACCGATGTCAATGGCGTCTCAATAGCGTGTCAATGGAATCATAGTGGCTTGGCGTTAACATAAAATAGCAGAATTGAGGCCCCGATGGTAAGTGACTACCATCACCAATGAACACTTGCCAATAAAGAGTCACAAGTGTGATCAAAATGTATTTATATAAATATTAGTTTACATTAATGTAAGTATACAAGGGCACGTTAAACCACTGCAACCATTAAATAATGTAAATAACTTTTTACATGTAACAGTAAATATATAACGTTGGGCTGGATAAGAAATTAAGTTGCTATAAAATTTCTAATCCTACAACAATAAGTAAATGGTATCGTATTTTTTACTGTCTATATTAATTAATTTATCTATCTAATAACGTATTTCCTGTTAGTACTTTACTGTAGCTTTACTTGTGTATATATATCACTATAACCTTCTTTCTAAGGAGAGGTCTATGCCAGCAGTAGACTATTAAAGACTCTTGATGGTGATGATCACTATAATATTCTATCATGGACGACCGAATGGCGTAGTGGTTTGCTTAACGGCCTGCTATTCCAAAGGTCGCGGGTTCGATTCCCGCTCAAGTCAAACATTTGTATGCATGACATGTATAATATGTACGTATTTACAAAAATAAAAGTATATATGTATTTATATCAGTTGTCTAGTAGCCATAGTACAAGCTCTGCTTAGTTTGGGACTAGATGGCTTTGTGTGAATGTGGAACAATATTATTATTATTATCTATATGTTCTAACTTGCATCACCGTTCTTTAGGTTTTTTAGCTGAATTGCAATCATTTATGCTGATTCTACCTACATAACCTCGTGACGAATAAATAACATGGCGTCTAACATTTTCATTTACATTTACAAGGAAATTTTTAGTGTTAATATATTTTCGAATGATTAAAACTTTCCACAATTTCCCAGTTGTGTACTGATAGAGATCGGATCAAATTTTAACACTACAAAAAAGGGTGTAATATTCTATTATCTACAATTCTTCACATTCTATGAGATTCTGTAAATATATATAAAAGCGCAGTCTTGTCTGACAGCAGGTGCTCCTGATAAATAAAGGGGAGATAAAAAGTATTATGTACTTACTATTGAAAAAAAAACTATACTCGTAGGTAGACGTTTTCGCGTTCTTTATTCAGAATCATATACAATCACGATACAACCTATAAACTAAGGGGGCAGAGACAATGAGTAATAGTCGCGGGTTGCCAACCTCTCCCCATTCCTATCACGTAGTGTTGCCAGGGGAGAAATAAATATTTCCCCAAGAAATCCGCGTCTTGCTCTATATGTAAATTTTTATATTTTTTCCATCTAATAAACAGTGTCGTGTGTGGTTTTATAATTTCAAGATATTGGGGCAGGTGTTTGTTCAACAATAAAAGTGGAACGACACAGCGGTTGAAAATATAACCTATAAAATTGACAACCATAAAACTGGTAAATATGTAGGTATACAATAAAACCAATGGAGGTGCAGTATATTCGAAGCATTCATATACATATCTAAATTTTTAGTCAACAATGTGGTTTTAAATGGCTAAAAATTGTTGTAAAATAATGTATGTAATATTTCCTAAATGTATTTATTCAATATGTTAAACATTACTTTTATTACATAATATTTTAGATAACAGCGTAGTTTTATAGGTACCTGTTTCACAATTTGGCTTTAATTTGTTATTTATTTTAAAACACGTAGATTAAAACTGATAATAAATTTATTTGGTGCTTTAAATTTCATAACCGACTTCAAAAAAAAAAGGAATAACTTCTTTCATACGTTTTTTTACGTATTTGATAATCAAACACTTTCAAGCAATCAAGCTTACGTGTCAACTGATGGTAAGTGACCACCGTCACACATATTAGAAAATAAGTATATCCATCAGCAGTCTGCTCTGCCAAGTTTGGTATTCGACAGCTGTGTGTGAATTTGTTATTTTTATTAATGTTTAAATATAGACACACCTTGATTATTTATTGAAACATACCCGTCAAATACATAAAAACCTTACGCCATATCTCAATTTTAATATAATTCACTAAGGTACTGCAACAATCCATCAAGCTGTCATTGCAGTCTGCATTCCACAAACTTATACTTACACCCAAGAACTTACAAAGCCATGGAAAAGATTCCACATCAACTGCAAATCAAAAGCTTGTCTTAAAACACCATTAGCGTAAGACTTTTGTTGTCGTGACGGAGAAAAATGACTCTTAAGTCAAAGGAATAAATGTTATGCAGAACGTAAAAGGTTGCACGTAATAGTCAAAATAGGAGTCTAGCTTGACAAACAGTAGGTTTGAGTGTTATAAAAGAATATTGAGCTTTATGGTACCTGTGGTAGGTTGGTTTTCGCTTGTAGAATCATTTTGTGATCGCAAAGTGTAGGTCGGTTCCTGAAAGGCATGCTTTCCTTTGGGAATTTGGCCATTTTTCTTGAAAACAACAGTGAATACTAAGCGTTCTCCAACAAAACAGCTAATAAAGTCGACTTTACATTCCCGACAGGTACTTCATTTATAAACACAATGTTTAAATTGAGTTAAAGTAGAAAATGAAGACATTTACGCATCGACGTTGGGAGTGTAGATACAGGAGAGTTGTGATCCCTTCAGAATATAAATTAAAATGATTTAAATCAAGTGAAGTTGGTTAGCTGTGACCAAAACTATTCGAAATAGATATAGAGAGTTAATAATTGGGACTTTAACTCCTATTATATACCCATTACAGAATAAAGCTCTCAAGTGAGATTCTATTAGCTGTGACATGACACGGGCAGGCTTGGCTGACAACACTGAAGCTACGCTATCATGAAGTAGCCATGGCCTTGGCTTGGCATCGCTTGGCATATGTCTGAGACACAAAGGCATGATCATGGAACTCTTCTGATCTTTTGACTTTTAGCCAGATTTTTAGATTTTTTGAAGTCACTTACCTGGCTATAGTATGGAGGTGAGCGCTGGTAGCCAGTTTCACCAGCGGCCTGTGAGGGGGGCGGCTGGGCCTCGTTGGAGGGCTATACGTGTACTCCGCCGCCCCAGATCCCGTCAACCACGACCAGTGTTCAGTCATGATGGACTTCACTACACTTATACTAAGTTCGAAAAAAAAAACACTTTTGTAAACTTGACTAGAATTATAATTCACGTTAACAGAAAGACTAGAAATGCGAGACTTTTAAGATCTGTAAAATACAACTTGTTATGGCTAAGCAACTTAATAAATAGAAAAAACCTATTTGTAGTTTTTTATCGATGAAAATTAAGATTAGGATTTTTCTCGAATTATAATTGTTTTGAAAATGGAATGAAATTAAATGGCCGTCAAAATGTTTTGTTTGACTTTTTAGTGTTTGGCAAAATAAATTACAAGTTAGACATTTTAACTGGTACAGTAAATAGTTTCATTCTAGTCGTTGAGTCTTTATTTTAAACCTTTAACAAAACGTTTTAAATGAGTACTAGCGCTGCAATAGTCCTGGCAGGGTTTTCCCTCTTACAGTAAAATTATGTCTAGACAGTAACAATTTTTAGAACCGAACGTTGCATTTCACATAAAGGCGACCATTATTCCTTCGAAAGCTACGATCCGATATACCTTCAGATACATCTCATAAATCACAAACAAGTTTCAGAGTCTTTCACGCTGTTCATTCTTCAATCTCCAATGTTATTAGAATCCTAAACGATGATTGATAGAACCACTTCTATTAGTTGGATAACACCTTCTCGAGTTCTCTTAAATACGCCAAAATAGATCTTAATATAGCAAAAATAAAGTTCACTTACAATTTTCTAGGATAAGCTTAAATAGTTTCATTTTCAAAACCTTACAGATTGCAGTGAACTTAAAATAAGCCTTATCTTGATGGAAATAGGTCTTATTATAATAAATAAGTAAAATCGAACTAGGGTTACCCCGCGTAAAATATACGTGTATTCCATTTTCAAATTCTCAATGGAACGAATGAAAATTCGAAATGGTTCAGCCATTTCTTTCTCACGTATAGGTTTCGAGTGAGAGGTCCGATCGCAAATGCAGGATACGGTTAATACGCGCACTACTGGTAAGTAAGGCAACAAATCTTGTGTATAGGGAGAGGTGGATATTGAGAATTCATAGTGACACTTATGTGTGACGTCATGCGGCTCGAGAAATGAAATTTTTGTGATGAGTCATCAGTTCACACTGGGGTGATAGAGCTCGAAACCAATCGGAGATCTTCGAAATATAAACGCGAATAAAACAGTTTACCGTTAATTAAAAGTACTGATTCATTGAATTGACTGCACGGATGGCGTAGTGGTTTCAGCGGCCGCCATGCCGCTTCCTACTACACCGAGTATTGTGCCTTCAAACCCCACATGGGACGACACTTTGTGTGATCCACAAATTGATGTTCTGAGCCTGGGTGTTCTTTGTGTTCATTTCATGTATGTTTGTAAAGTCCCCCGCGACACAGGATATATTCCTAATGCGGGAGTTGTCTTTAAAAAAAAAAAAACTACTGTTTATTATTTCGGATACTTCTAAAAGCAATAACAAAATACAAAATGAAGCTTGTTTAGTGACTTTTGAGTGGTTTTCTATGAGTGGTGAAGACACCTACAGCAATAGGGAATATGCATGTATTTTTTTTTTAAACGATTCTACTAGTTATTACATTACCAAAAATAAATATAACACATCCGAAATATAAACCATTAAGCAAAACAAAATTTATTGAAATCAGTATCATTTTGGGGAATTTGAACACGTCCATTTTGGCGCGCTTTTTTTGTGACGTCAGATTACACTTTCAGACGAATTCGATGTCAACAACGGAGTGAAGTTCACAAAGTTTGTGAAATTTAAAAAAGTGAGTGATAAAAATTTACTTACTACCATGGAAAAGCCAATAAAAACTTATTATAAATATTGTGCCGTTACTTTGTGCCCAAATAATATTAAAACTGCACCTGACAAAGTATATTCAGTCATTGTGTTGAGTCGTTCTACACGGGAATTTAATAATTTAACACTGAAAACGTATTAGTTATTAAATTAAAATGAAACAAATAATCACCAGAAACCAAATATTACAAATACACACAACTTGTTGATACTCTTGACAGTGTAGGTAGCGTTTAATAGCGTTGCGTTTTAGAAATTTGCGAGGGAATCTTAAAAAAGCCAATTTTTGATGATTAAATTTCACTATTAAATTATAATAAATTTCAAAAATAATTGTATGGGTATATTCTTTTAGAAATAAAAATTACAAATAAAAATATTTTGTCCATTTTGGTGTCACGTGCATATTCCCTATTGCAGGAGTTTTTTACGACCGAACGTAAAGGCACTAACAGAGTGACAAGAATATACAACAAATAATATTGTCCTCTGTCATAAACTGGCACGTGCAAGAATGTTTGAAGTACTGTAAATCGTCACAGTTATTTAACAAGTAGAACGGGAAAACATCCTAATTTCTTTTGAGTAGTTTGTAGTAATAGACCGATGATTATGACCAGAGGTGGACTGTCCACCTCTGGTCATAATGGTCATAACTCTTTTTTTCTTGTTATGACTAACGTTTTAAATTTACAGTTATAAGGTTACAACTGGACATGATGATTGTCGGCAAAGAAATAATATAATGGGAGTGAATCATTCATCAACAACCTTTAATAGTCCACTGCTGGACATAAGCCTCTCCTTAGAAAGATGATGATAAGAAGATGGAATCATTACATGACATGTTTTAAGTCGGTATTACATTTTATAAAAGTTTTAAATTTTAACTTTTTGTACTTGTTAAGTTTTTCTTTTAAACATATTTATATACCCTTTTTAGAAAGTCAAACGTGGCAAACCTTCCCGACAATGGGCATACTTGTTCAATGACTGAAGCCAAAAGCCTTCCTCTGTTTCAGAATCCGTGTAAGAGAATACTTTTCTTTTTTTTTCTTTTTTTTTAAAAGACAACTCCCTTAATGCGGAATGAAACGGACACAAAGAACACCCAGACTCAGAACAACAATTTGTGGATCGCACAAAGTGTCGTCCTATGTGGGGATCGGACCCACAAGACTTAGCGTAGTAGTAAGCGGCGTGGCGACCGCTTAAACCACGACGCTATCCGTGCAGTCAAAGTGTACTATGAACTCGACTGTAGATTTCGGTACGAACACCATGCGGTATAGTTAGCGATGTACGTATTTTTTAAGATGGTGTCTCATGGTACCCGTAACCCTAGCAATCTATAAGTGGTAAGTCTATGATGTTCGCATGTTATTTCCTATGGTGGTTCGTAAGGGTGTTTTCGTTTGGGTTCCGAGTGCCCGTGGCGTTAACATTTAAAACTGGTGAACTTGCAAATAACGAGGACACCAATCTCGGTAAGCTTAACGTATTGGATATTTAAGTGAAAGTTTTAACACATTGCTGCTTCGAGGTTTTCTTATAATTACATTTCCTTGAGAACAATCGGTGCAACTAATTCCTGTAAATATATGTACTGAGTGACCAGCAATAGGATTTTTTTTTATGGAAGAGGGGGCAAACTAGCAGACGGGTCACCGGATGAACGCCTGCAACTCAGGAGTCACAAGTGCGTTGCCGGCCTTTGAGGAAGGAGTACGTTCTTTTCTTGTCGTTCATGGGCGGCGATGGTTACTTTCCATCAGGTGACCCGTCTGCTCGTCTGCCCCCTCTAACATAAAAAAAACTTGAAGGTTAGAAGGTCGTATCGGTCCCGAAATACCACAGACGATAACTTGCTCCACAGGTTGGTTATGCGAGGCAAAAAGTGTCTTGAATAGCCCACAGTGGTGGAGTGCCAATTTTCAAAGCTGTGGGGATGAAAAATAGCGGAAAGTTGCACCCGGTATTACTCTGAGCAATTCCTCGGAGAACTCTCCATGATTTATTCTATGGATTAATTAAATGTTATTATTACAGAAGAACCTAATTCAGTAGACATTTTCGGGAATGCCGCCAACCTCGGCAGTGCGTGACGCGTCGTATTTGTCCCGCGGCATACGGCTGGTGCTTGCCGGCATTTACTACATGCTGAGGGATTTGCCGCAATTTATAACACTCGCGCTATAGGGGATTGGAATTCGCTGATTATAAAGATTAGAAATTAAATTTCAGCTCTGTTCATAGCTGCAGGGGTATATTTTTCCTTAAATAGTGTCTGTTTGTAAGTTAAGATTTCATATACCAGTGGACTGACACGACTGCCTAAACATATTGTTGAGCATGATACTTATACTGTAAGAAATAATTTACTTTCAATTAATAAATAAATATTCTGCCTACTTTTTTGTAGTGAAACCTTATTTAGGCGTCATATGTCATGTCATGAGTTGTAAGTTTTTTTTTTTATTATAAACTTAATCACACTTTATTTACAAGTTCTCGATTCGCCAAACTGTTCTAACCAAGTATCCAGTATTTGGCAGAGTACGAACAATTATTACCAAATACCCGAAGTTTTAAACTTGATTACTTAAGTAAAAATTCAATCAACTTTGGGTAGTCCAAAGCGAGTGTAATCTTTCAATACATTCAGTCTGATTAAAGTTATCACAATGCAGCGAGGGTTGGTGCCGTACCGCCCACTTGCAGCGGGAGGGCGAGGCCGGGAGGTACGGAGGGATCAACAGAGATATTAAGATTAGAGTTGATTAGAGCTGATTTATTGGTATTAGGTGGTAATTAGGGGATTGGTATTCATGATGTATACGAAGAGATGAATGCAGGGCTGTGACAATGTACCTACTCGTATTTAGACATTCCATAACAAACGATGTTCTAAATTTAATTGTTCGTTCATCCCCTATGTCAAAAAAAAACTGCATACCGGGAGTGCCAACAGAAGTGAAAACTTGAAAATTTAAAAACAAAATGACAATAACAGGTAAAAGTTTTGATACTTTTCCTTCCAAATCCTCTGTAAATTTAACCATTGTGTTTTTACAATAGTTGCTATGTTGGGAAGGGGGCAGTTATGGGGGGGTGAAGTAACCCTTGTCTCTTTGTCGGTGGAATATAATAGACTAGCTTTTCCGCCCTCGTGTATGTCG